TTGTATTGCAGCTTCTGGTGTGAATGCCAAGCAGCAGTACAGCATGCCGTTTCAAAATTTCTGGTGAAATGAATTGTATCATGGTGTTTTTTTTTTTTTTTTTTTTACAAAAGATGGGGCCCAACTGACTCTACTGTGCAGTCGATAAAAACAAACAATGCACGTGTACAAAATTAAAAATATAAAATGGTGACAATTTACCCATTAAAGATCCTCTGTGTGTGTACATGTGCACACAAAAAAAACTATATATATATATATATATATATATATATATATATATATATATATATATTTTTAATAAAAACAGACCACTTTAAGGTTCCATGGAACCTTAAAGTGGTCTGTTTTGATTTAAATTATTTGCTCTGGATTTACATTGAGCTCTCTGGATTTTATCCTCCTTGGGTCTACCCATACGGATTACCTAGTTTTTCATAGACAGACATATATATACACACAACCCATGTATGTATCTCTGTGTGTGTGTAAATGCATTATTAATGAACTAATTACAGATAAGCATTGTAAATAATTTTTGTATCAAAATCGTTTTAGTATAGAAACGTATTAAATATGAGAAAGTTCAAGGGTTGTCAGTAGTCAGGAATTATATGGTAAGCATTACTGATATGCAGAATGCATAGTTAATGATTTTATTATAGAAATAATTTACTGATCAAAAATGATTTTACTGTAAAAATGTATTGAAAATCAAAAAGAAATGGTCAACTATTAATGCATGTGTTACTGATAGAAAAGGGTTCTTTCATGCATCATTCGATTCAGTTTTACCATTGAGCCATACAAGCAAGTTTGTTACATTATATAGTTTCTGTAAGCAGCCAACTATTGACACTAATTTATTGGTATCAGTCTTGCAGTCTATCTGTAAGTAACTGTTAAGTACTGAGTGACTAAAGAATTGTTACCAGTTGTACAACTATTAGCAGTAATGACTATTTGTTCTGTTGTCTTTTCAAAGAGGACAACTTTGCCTCCAGGCATTGACTTTTCTAACTGAATGTCAGATTTGGGTTAGGGTAATTTTATGGCTTTGATTACCAAGGTTTAGAGTGGTGGGTCTGTGGCTGCTATGGGAGTCTTATGAAAACAAGGTCTTGATGGATGGACATATTTTTCTCCATATCAGGGGAGGGCATTATTTTATTTATTTTTTTTCTCTATGGATTGGACTTTTTATTTTTATTTTTTATTTTTTTGCTATGATTTATATTGTGAATGTTTTTGTTTTTTTTTCCAGCTGGTGTGAATTTTGTGTATCCATTTTTGATTAAACTACAAAAACAGGCCACTTTGTTGTTTGATAAATTAGAATGAAGAATAAAAAAAAAAATCCACTTATACATGTAGTAATAGTTGAAATAATTTCTGATATTAAAAGTCCATTTCTTTCTGATTGTACTACATTTCTATTGTCAAATAATATTTTTGTGCAATAAATTTGATAGCAATGCATTGAAAACATCGGGCCCTTCCCTGATTAACCATTTCTTCCGGGGTGTAGCCATATTCACCACATTTGGCCAATTGCGTGTTGGTGAGACTATTTAATCCATAGATGGGGTGGATACCATTTGACTCTGAGAACCTTATCTGTCCCCTAATAGCTTTATTTTTTTGTGCTCCTAGGGTTCCACTTAACCTCTTCACTAGACCAGGGTCTGGTGTTGGACCCAGTTTAGTCAGTAACCACACAACCACTCGGGTTTTGAATTCAGTGTTCCTTCTCCTAGACCAATTGCCACCCAATGACCCACTCTGATAGCTAGGGATGGTGGAGTAGCATATTAATCATTGATGCAGAAATTGAAATTAATGAGTCAAATTCAAATTTTAGTCTAGTTTGTTACATTTATCTTTACACTAATTCCTTTAGGAAAAGTAGAGTAGACTGGGTTCTCTAAACTTGAGTGGTAATTAAGGAAACATCTAATTCAAAAACGTGGTGAAGGCAATGGAATTCCACTTTCTGTTTCCCAAGAAATCCTGCTAATTTCCAGATAAAAAATAAGGAATTTGTGGAGTGTCATGATCAAATACATCCTGAAGGTACTCGGCATTCAAAAAAAAAAAATAAAAATATGAATTTACATGCACATTGATAAATTCAGATGAAAGTATAAAACCTAGAAAATAACACAGATTAACACACATTTAAGGGGGTCAAGTAGAGTGACTGATGTTAACCAGTTGGGATTTTTTTATCTGTTAAATGTTTCTACATTTGTATAAGCCAGATTTTAGTACTTTAAGTGTTTGTTTTTTTTTCTTTTCTTTTTTTTTTTCATAATTGATCGAAATGGAATGAGGTTTTATTTATTTTAGCTTTTGAAAAAATTTATTTCTACAACTTTAAATTATGAATCTGAAAAAAACAAAATATGATACCCCAATCTTTTTTTTTTTTTTTTGCTGTACTTGCTGCCTGTAAGATGAACCATTTATTGGACTGTATCAATGATTTGAACTCCATGCAGTTCATCCAGATTCAGTAGCTTGTTATTTTGAGTTTTGGTAGACAACACCATAACTATGATACTAGTGTATTGAGTGGATTGTAATCTTGCATAGTGTACTATTATTATTATTATTATTAGATATACAGATTATCTAACTGTGGCTCAGAATGAGATATCAGCTGAGTTTGAATTCCAGTCAACTTTCACTTCTGTAAAAAAAAAAAAAAAATTTTTAGAAAATGCATCTTTTCTTCCTCTAGCTATGGGTTAAATAGCAGGGCTCTCTAGCCATGATTGGCAACTGGTCTAGGAGAAGAATGATTTTGAATTTAAAACTCAACCACCTGAATCTGTACAGATATGGCTAGGCATGTTACACAGATACTATTTCTGTAAAACAAAAACACAATAGATTTCAACACCTGTAGATAATTCCTTGATTATCCAGAAGGTAGTGAGTACCAATATGCACTGAACCAAAGGAAGATGTCATGATTATTATTATTTAAATACACATCTTATATGTTAACCAATATAGTCATTAGCTTTTTTTCTGCTTATATTATTTACAATCAAACTATAGTCCTCATCTTTGATGTTATCTCAGTGTTTCCGCCATTGTGCACTCTGGTCTTCATCAGGTTTATATTGATCTGAGTAACCTAAATTGAATCCCTTATTGAATCTAGAGGTAAATTGAGGTTCTTTTTACTGTCCATATCTAAAGAGATACCATTTAGTACTTATTTTTAGTAATGCTCAGTTATTGCTTGTGCATTTCCACTATGTCCAAGTATACCCTGCCTGACTTGGGATTGAACTCATAATTATATCACCAAATTCATGAACCAATACTTTAATCAACTAGGCTATTGTCCTACAGGATAATTGGCAATATAGTTTGAATGTAAATAGTGTAAATAAATAATGACTCCTCCTCATCCCAGAAATTAACTTTTTTTTTTATATAACCAATAATTAGCAGGCTTGTCTTACTACTGAGGAGTGAGTTGAATCTTTACTGGGTTCCCATATGATGACTTTATGCTAAAATTAATTTTACCAAGTAATTAATTAGATGTGGTGAGAAATGTTAAATTAATTTTTTATACTCCAATCACCAAATTCATGAAAACAATACATTTTATGATCTATAAACTATATATCTGAAAAAAGATGCCTTTACCCTGAAAATATAAAATTATGCACAAAATATCTGTATTTGAAAGCATAAAATTACATACAAAATATTTAGATTTTGGCATTAAATAATCCATATAGGTTGATATGCTGCTAAACAAAATCAACCAAACAACACACAAAAATATATATTAGAACAAGGGGAGAAGTGTAAGGATTGTTTTTTTATGGCTTATCAACCCTTTGTGGGTTGTTTAAAACCAAAACACATGCTTCCACTATCTAGTGATACTTCATCTAAGTGCTGGCTGGGTTTGACACTGCTTAACTTCGGTGATCAAATGAAAACTGGTATTTGACCGTAGACAGACTAACAAGAATAAGAGGTAAATATATATATATATATATATATATCACCCACCTTAAATTTGTGGATTGAAAACTTTAAATAAAAAGAAACAACAAAAAAAACGTCTTACCAGTTATTGTTCCTTGCTCTTCATAGCTCAATCAAGGACAAAACTTAGAAATATGTGCACAATGAGTAAAAATGGATAGAAAAAAAATACTATCTGAGAATCAGGAATATAAATAAGACAGATTACATTTAGTTCCAGCAACCATTCCTTCTGCTTAGGGGGAAAAGTTGCTTAGACTTAATATACAGGGCCTCAGGCACTTTCAAATGGTAATATGAATAATCTTTTAGGGAAACAGCTTATATTACCATTATTTTTACCATGGAGCAGTGGTTACCAAGCTAGCTTTACATGCTATTGCTTGTTACTTTGTCAATTTGTACCTCAATATTATGGTCTTGTGCTACATAAGGATTAAGATTAACAAAGGTATTTTTATTGGATATCATTGTTAGATCTAAATATATTTTGATAAAAAATATCCAGGTTCTTAAAACATTTCATCTTTCTTGACAGATCATCTATTAACACAATGTAGGATATTTAATAACAATATTGATGAAAACCTGAACAGAAAGAAACTAAATGAAATTGGCTAGACCAGGGGTTTTCAAACTTTTTGACTTGCGGACACCTTTATATTTCAGGCTTTACCTTAGGGACCCCCTTGTAAACGCTTATGAAATTTATACATAAATATTTGTGGAATATAACATATAATTTTGCATTAATGCAAACGCCTAACAGCCAATGAGAAAGCCGGAAATTGCAAAATAGATCCAAAATTCAAATCCTTTGGTTCCTTCTCTGCATGAATAGAATCCATTATCTTTATCAACTTAAGATACAAATTATATTAGTATATCAAATCTATGAAATAGTTTATTGAACCAATTTATTTCATGATCGGCCTATAAGTTACTTATAAGCGCTTATAAGTTGCACATCACCCATAAAAATGTGTTTGCTGTCAACGGACCCCCTATCTTGTCCTTGCGGACCCCCTGTGGTCCGCAGACTACAGTTTGAAAACCCCTGGGCTAGACCATATACTCATAACATATACTTAAAAAAAAAAAAAAAAAAAAAATTAATTTCTCTGTTCCTGTGTTTTTCATGCATATGTGTAGTTACATCAATATAAACATTAGTCTGATGATTCCTAAAGAAAGAAACTCTTCAAAAAAAACTTTTTTCTACTTTGTCATGTTTTTTTTTCCTCTCAGATTATTCCTGATATATATAAAAATTTATATTTTATTGTTCTATCTAAATATACATAAATAGTGAACATTATTTACATTATTCAGACTGTTTTCCTCATCTTTATTGCCATATCCACTGTGTTTTGGCCATTGTATGCTCCAGCCTTCTTCAGGTGATTATAATTTTGAACTGAACCCTTTATTTTGTCCACTGAGGTAGATTGGAAATACATAAACTTAAAGAATCAGCATATATGGTATTCTACAAAAATCTCCTAAGCTGACCAAGCATAGAAATGAATACAATATAGGAACCAGTAATACGGAGTGCTAAAGAAAAGCAATAATAACAAGAAAAATTGCAATATGAGCTCTGGTAAGAAAATGTCTACTGAGCCATTAAGTTTATAAGTCCCAAAAAATTCATACACTGATGTCCTCCAAGACACATGGCCCAGTGAAAAAAAATGTCAGTTGGATTCAGTGACTTGAACCAAAGAGTTGTGAGTTCAATACCAAAACTTGGAGAGTTGAGTCATTAGAAGAAGCATGGAATGTGGAACTAGAACAATCTACCCCGTTGGATGAAATAAAGGGCTGTTTGAAATTCCAATCTCCTGAAGAAGACCGGAGTGTAAAATGGCCGAAACATTGTGAATATGGCAATAAAGATAAAGACAACAGTCTGAACAATGTAAATAATTATAATACCTCATCTCAGAAATATAGACAGATAAACATTGAACCATTACCCATTATTTTACCATACCATTTAATTAATTTTAATTTTTTTTAATATTGTCAATGTACTATGCCAAACAAAAATTTTAAATAATTTTCTTGCCTGTCTCACTGCATTGCAGCTTTTAGAGTAGAAAATGTTCATCTATTTGAAGTGGTAAAAAGTTAGTCTTTTTAAAAGCAAGTTTTCTAAGAGCTTGGCACCTTATAGCCTAGAGAAGCTAAAAAAACACGTAACTGCTGTGAAGGGTGAGTAAGCTTGTCTTGAGATAAGAGTTGCAGCGTTATCTTTTACACTGATTAATTTGATAGAAGCATATAAGCAAAGCTATCAATTTCCATTCACAAAATTTACATGACTATAATAACAAAAAAGAAACAAATTGAAATTGTGTATGTGCACATATACTACTTGAGTCTTTTTCATCATATGGAATGTCATGTAATGCTGATTATTATGCAGATTTTTATGATATCCTTACCAACTTCATTTAATTTATTACTTGATGTTCAGTTAGTGCCCTAATTTCTTCCTTTTCATCTATCTCTTCTTTTTCTTAGCTTTATCTTTTTAGCATATTTTTCATTCATTTACATTTTCTTGGCCTCTAACTTTTCATAGGCTGTCTCTCTCTTTACCATTTTCTTTTCCTCTCTTTTCTCTTTGCCATTTTCTTTTCCTCTCTTTTCTTTTTGCCATTTTCTTTTCCTCTCTTTGCCATTTTCTTTTCCTCTCTTTGCCATTTTCTTTTCCTCTCTTTGCCATTTTCTTTTCCTCTCTTTGCCATTTTCTTTTCCTCTCTTTGCCATTTTCTTTTCCTCTCTTTGCCATTTTTTTCTTTTCCTCATTTTTTTCCTCTCTTTGCCATTTTCTTTTCCTCTCTTTGCCATTTTCTTTTCCTCTCTTTGCCATTTTTTTTTTCCTCTTTCTTTTGCCATTTTCTTTTCCTCTCTTTGCCATTTTCTTTTCCTCTCTTTGCCATTTCTTTTCCTCTCTTTTGCCATTTTTTCCTCTTTTCTCTTTGCCTCTCTTTTCATTTTCTCTTTTTGCCATTTCTTTTCCTCTCTTTACTTTCTCTTTTTGCCATTTTCTTTTCTCTTTTGCCATTTTCTTTTCCTCTCTTTTCTTTCTCTCTCTTTTCTTTTCCTCTCTTTCTCTCTTTTCTCTTTCTCTCTTTTCTCTTTCTCTCTTTTCTCTTTCTCTCTTTTCTCTTTCTCTCTTTTCTCTTTCTCTCTTTTCTTTCTCTCTCTTTTCTTTTCTCTCTCTTTTCTTTTCTCTCTCTTTTCTCTTCTCTCTCTTCTCTCTCTTCTCTCTCTTCTCTTTCCTCTCTTTTCTCTTTTCCTCTCTTTTCTCTTTTCCTCTCTTTTCTCTTTTCCTCTCTTTTCTCTTTGCTTTTCCTCTCTTTTCTCTTTGCTTTTCCTCTCTTTTCTCTTTGCTTTTCCTCTCTTTTCTCTTTGCTTTTCCTCTCTTTTCTCTTTGCTTTTCCTCTCTTTCTTTATTTGCTCTATCTTATTTTACTCACTTTATATTTAATACATTTACTATAACCTTTCTCTTTTCATTAAACTAGTTTGGTGACCAACTTTCTTTTCTCTCAATCTTAATATTTTATGTTCACTCATTTTTTTTAAATTTTAATATTTTATTCATTGTCCGATTTTCCCCACCTGTGCCTTAAATACAAATTACTTTCATCTTAAATACAAAAATATATTGATTAAAAAAACACATACTTATTTATGAAGATGCAATAACATTTTCCTCAAATTGCATTGAAATTTAAGAATCCAAATTCTTTTGTATATTTCAGTAATTCCTTCCTTAGGTGCCATGCCTGATACACACTTGGGTGATTGTCTCCCTTCAATTCATGATTGACATTCATATAAGATTCTCTGGGACATAAAGTCGGGGATGTTTTTCCTATTGTCATTAAGTACTAAATTGTTCCCCCAAGATTACTACATATTAATATCCTTCCTTAGATGCCATGCATGATGCACAGTTGGTCGATCATATCTCTTTTTGATTCATGATTGACTTGGCAGAAGAATTCTCACCTGTTGACTGAAAGTAAATGAAAGAATTGATGTATGAAAGCCGCTTAATTAGTATCCACCTTGAACATAGTATCCAACTTTATTATTGTATAACTTCATTCCTTCCTCTGTGTTTAATTTATCAGGGTTCATTTCCAATACGGCTTCTCTGGTTTTACCATTCCGACTCAAAAAAACACAGTTGGAACTCTTTTCCTCGCATCTCTATTTGCTGCCATTTCCCAGAACTTTGTTTCTTTTTTCCAAGCATGGTACTTTTCTGGGATAAGCACTGATGGGTCTAAAAACTTCATATTTGTAGCCACTTGTTCTTTTTTAGGAACTAAGCTCTGCCAGCAGATGATAAAACAAGATCTTGCTCAATAAACTGTGTGACAGCACTTTACCAGACAATTGAAAAATATTCACTAAGGAGAAATTTCGGTAAGCTTAAATAATGCCTAAAGGTTAAATCCATTTTTGGCAGGAAGGGAAATAAGCTACTGCAACTGCTTAGAACACTTCCATTAAGCTAAGGTACTGGAGTCTCTAATCTTCAGAAATTTATCAGCCAAGGATGCTGAGTTCAGTCCTTGGTTGGACCACAAGAGTCAGCATAGTTAACAGTATTTGTTTAATAAAAACAGACATGTTAAAATGAAGTATAAAATACCAAAATAAAATTACATTACTGTAAAGTGCTAATATTGAAATATGAAACGCAACAAAAAAAGCAGGATAACTGGTTTATTGGAGCTCAATTCAGGACAAGAAAGATGTACGAGACACCAAAAATCAAATGTTATATACAAAATAAATAACAATTAGAGGCTAATTATATTTAAACCTAAAAACTCCTGTTTACAGAGATGGCTGGTCGGACATAATATAAATAAATTTCAACACCTTCAAAATAAAATTCAGAATTAGATATTATTGTGATGTTTTTGCTTCTTTAAATGTCACGTCCAATCAGGATGTAGACAATCATGGCTTTCCACAGGTTCCTTTCATCTATTATCTAGGGATTGCTATGACTTCTTAGGAAAGAATTTTTCCTTCTCTTCAATTGGTTGCTACCTAATGTTAGAGAGTTCGGCCTGTTCTGCTATTTAACCCATAGCTGTTGTAAGAGATGAAGTTAGGCCTCTCCCAAGGGCATTTGTGCAAAAGTTGATATAACTGACTTTGCTGGAATTTGAACTCTGTTCAACAATTCTCATTTCTGTTACACTACATGAATAAAATTTACCTGTGATATTGTGTTATCTGAACAGTTTGTACATAAAAGAAATACAACTTTGCGATTTTATGTTATAAAAAAAAAATTAGTTATTTGTATACATAAAAGTAAAAGCATATATGTGTATCTGTTTGCTTATTTTGTGTTTCACTACATTTGCTTGTTCGGATACATGAAAAATAAGGTACTGCTAAACCTGAATCTCTACATCTGCCATTACTTTCCTATCGTCATGGAACAGGATCAAGTGCAGATATAGTATTTCAGTAGATGTTCTTGTTGCTTATGGCAACCAGGATTTTGGGATTGCTTCTCAGATGAAAAATATAAGAGTGCAGTCAAAGATTGGAATTTTCTCTGACTAAGCCTACAGACCATTCCTATTAATCATCATTTTTGTCGCCATTTATTCATATAGATCTGGTCTTGAACCAAAATCATTGCTATAAATAACTAGTTAATTTACCATAGTAGCTGAAACTCCTACACTGCACATTTTACAGTGTGTTTATATATATTTATATAGTTGGGTAGCAACCCCTCTTTTATACAAGTTTCATTAAAAATGACTGACAAGATACTGCAGTTAAGCTTTTTATTCACTTTTTCTTGTGTTTGTATAAGTGTTTTTCTTTTCTGCATATAAAGTATGTAAAGCTGTCTGAATGTTCTATATATTTGAGGGAGTTAAAAAAAAAACCTTGATAATGGCTAATAGAATAACTGAATGCACTCAGATGTTTAGAACGCTTGGATACTACAAGGATGTATCCATAGCATTGGTAATATTAGATGCATCGTTTTAATGTCTCCATTTAAATGCCAACAAGAACATCAAATGTTTGAGTTAAAATACATTTTTAAAATAAAATCACACATTCTAGAATTAAACGGGAATTTTGGCATACTCAAAGAATATAGTTTTCACAGAAAGCCTTCTACAAAAACTCTCAAAACTCTTTGGTAATGTTATAATGGAATATGCGTACACCTGTGTTCCCCCTCACTGGAGTGTGATTGGCTGGTGTCCGTCATAAATATCGATGGACGTGTAGGAGAGTCAGAAGAGTAACGGAGCCTTAGTCTGAGAGCTAAGTCTATAACGGCGCCCATTGGACTACACCATTGATCTACACTTCTATGACGCATACCAGTCGATTACTGCTACTGTATTCTACTTGGTTATAGTAGCCCAAACCACTTAGCTACTTCATTCAAATATATTCCTTTCTGGTACATATCAGGTAATATAACGTGTGGGGGTGGGGGAGGAGAAAGAAGCAAACTTGTTCAGCAATAGCAAAACTGTCAGTAGTATAAAACCATTTCCTGTAAATAAATGATTAAAGGTGGCTTTGAGTGAATGAAACTTGTAGGTTTTAGCAAGGACTATCCTTCTTTGAACATTGTGGACTGGTGCTGCAGAATCAGGAAGGACTGTACCAAATAGTAGAAACCACATCACTTGAGGACTTCCAACAGAAGCAACAATTAAAATGTCTATCACATGTATTCACTCATGTGCCATGTGTGATACACGCTGAGCGATTGTGTATCTTTTGATACATGATTGATGAGGCAGATTTTTTCCCACAATAGTTTATCATTTCTTTCTGTGGTAGACCAGTTGCCATCCAAGGCTATAGAACCCATTCTGTCCTGCTATTTATCCATAGCTGGTGGGAGAAGAAGAGGATTCATACCTTTCCCAAGTGATGTAAGTGAATGTAATGGGTTTGACCGGAATTCGAACTTGGCTCTTCAATTCCTCAATCTGAGCTGCTATCCATTACTCCACCATGTCAAATCCATTACAGAAGTATCGAAAGATACATGATCACCTAAGTGTGTATCATGCATGGCACATAACTGAGAGATCACATGTAACTTGGAGAAAATAACGATATATAATAATAATGATATAATCAAGATGTTGATGTTCCACACTACTTCAAACAAAAGCAAGAAAGGAAACTTCCATCATTACTGGAAAGAGCAATGATTATAGGGGTTGAGAAACCTATTTTCTTCAATGATTTGTTTAATAGATAGATTTTATAAATTTCAGCTGAAAATGAATACTGAATTTCCTTATAAGGAAATAGCTAATATTGCCATTAAAGATGGAGAGAACAGATACTATATTTTGATCCCAACTCTATGACCAAGGAGTGAAGAAAAGCAAGTAGCTGACTGGTCAATGAATGCTGAATGTTTTCTTCTCTAAACCACTAATATTATCATTATCAATGGGCTAACGACCTGGCTCTATAGGAAGTGGAACAAAAATTTGTTGCTGAAACTGTAGCAGCATCATTATTTATCATGGTAGCATTTCTGTTATTCACAAGCAATCTATAGGGATTAAGCAATTAATATACAATGATTTAAAGTTTGTGTCCAGTGGGTTTTTTTTTTCTTTTTTTTAATCTTGTAACCCATAGGGTCATAGGAGTACCATGTATACTGCAGCCACAGTGGAAGTGTTGTTTATTGGGCAAGATAACCTGACAGAGCCCAACCCCCTCTAGGCTGGTTTTGAATTCAGTTTTTTTCCTTCTCTTAGACCAGTTGCCACCCAAGGTTATAGAACCCAGTCTGTCCTGCTATTTACTCCTAGCTGGAGGTAGAAGAGAATTCTCATACCTTTCCCAAGGGGACTAGCATGTAAGTGAATGTAATGGATTTGACTGGAATTTGAACTCGGTTCTCTGATTCCTCAGTCTGAGCTGCTATCCACTACTCCATCGTGCTTCCTGTTCTGTAGATTAATGTTATCCAATGTGTAGATGAGTTTAGATACTGAATTATTACTTTGTGTCTTAGGTTTCAAGTAAGCTCCTGAAGATTAGAATATACAGGAAAAAAGAAAATTAGGATTTTTTTTCAAGTTTTTAGGTTAATGTTTTGGTTTTGTATCAATTTGCAGTGTTGGGTGAAACTTTACTTTTTCATTTTATTTTATTTTATTTTATTTTTTTTTTTTAATGCATTATGAAAGATTTCTTGACTTTTTTTTTTTTTTAAAATCATGGTCTTTTTGGTTAGTTTTGATTAATTTCTTTCGTCTTTTTTTTTATATTTTAATTTTTTAAGTATTGTTATGAAAAGGCTTTCCAAGAAGGCATGTGAAAAGCATTGGGATAATAAGTAATAAAGATAAGAATATTACTTGAAACTAACCAAATTAGACCATACCAATCTCCTTGAGTAAATCCAAAATATATTTGCTATCTGTGATAACATTCTTCTTATCCACAATGAATCTACAGGAAAAAAAGCAATCAA